TTTCTTAGAGAATTTGTGACAGAGCACATTAAAAAATGTCAGCCTCTGACCAACACCAATTACAGGACATATCTTATAAATTATTATGATTATAATGTATATATTAATTCAAGTCAAGTTTATTTCTAGGGCACATTGCTGGTCTCGCCTGATCCAGAAGGATTTAGGCTCACAGTTTGCTCCGTCTGTGATCAGGTACAGGACTAAGACACCCTGGAGACCCCACCCAGGGGTGCACGTGGTGGTGTGTATACCCTCACCTTTCTTGGCAAATGCAGCGTATTAGTTACAATCTCTCCTCCGTTCTCACACTGACATTTGTGTTTCCTGCCATACCTCCATGACAGAGAGGAAAAAGATAAATTAATAATATACTAAATTTCCAAAATGAGCATTAAAGTGTTACTCAACAAGTTCTTGAAAAACTTAATTTAATATGTCAAAGTGACGTTCCAGTATAGTGCTTAAAAAAAGTGTTTCTGTGAGGAACGAGCTCCTCCAACTCGCTGCCATTAGCAGATTCCCCATCATACAGTATATTATGAAATTGCTGGCGGTATAAAAACATAGCGTCAGGTTACAGAAACACTCAGGAGTCAAACGTTGTATATTTCAGGATGTATAGCGAGTGCGTGGGAGCCACTCCACACTGAGAGCTCGTGTGGATACAAATCACAGGCGATACTCTTTGTCACGTCAGCCTGAGCCGAGCCCAAAGCCACTTCAGCTGCACCCGGTGTTTATCTTACTGTGACATTCTCCCTGCTGCTACTACGACGAAGCCTCCTTTCTCCACCTCACTGCTACCCTGTGCATGATGCCTGCCTGGGAAGAAAGAGAGAGGTGGATTAACATGACGGGGGGGTTGAGAGATACGGAGAAGAAAGTGAAGAAGAGGAGGAGAGAAAATAGGAACACAAAGTTCATTTTTGGGTTAGAAGTAAGGGTTCTATCAGATACAAATGGAGGGACTATATTAAGGTCTTCCCAAGGATTTATGGGTATAGGCGTCTGATTTCACTAAAGGTCTGTGTGATTGTATAAAACATGGACATGAGCTCTCTGGTGTCACCCACTAGTTTGTGAAGAGAGGTTATGAAGCCTAACGATGGCATATTGGAATGCTACAACCTAACTTTTGATCACTTCAGAAACAGGCAACAAGGTGCTGCTGAGGTGGGTCTCAACCTGCAATGTCCACATACTCTGCATGGATTAAGGAAGCAAGGAAGTAAGGAACTCTCTCAAGGAATCAGGAGTCATTAATACAATATTCTTGGAATTTGCTACAAGACACTTTAAAAATAAGGCACTGGTCTTTTATGGCCATTTTAGAGCTTTAATTATTAACTCCTTTACTTCTGATTGCACGTTTCAATTGATTTTGTTTTTAATACTTTTTATTATCTGTTTGTTGGTTTTGTTTTGTTTATCTATGATGTGTATATATATATATGTGTTTATGTATACAGTACATGCATATGCTTACGTGTGTATCTGTACACACATATATGTATGTTTGTTATTTTTCATTGTTTATCCTGCTCGACGTCATCGTAAATGAGGGCGATGCTCTCAATGATGTTCGAGTGTAAATAAAGACAGAATAAAATATCATCCAGAACATCTGTCAGAGTAATAAACCCTTTGGTTTGTCAAGGTCTATGTCTGAGTGTGTGTGTGTGTGTGTGTGTGTGTGTGTGTGTGTGTGTGTGTCCATACACTTACCACTGACCTCCTGATGAACTAACATCCATTCTTCACGAGCGGCACAAAGGATACTGTGCTAAATGCAAGAGCACCCCGGGGTGCATCGGCCACAGCTTCTCCCTTACAAACGGGCGGTCAGGTGCCCCTGGGCCGTACTACAGACGCTAGCTGACTTGACATCCCTGTCGGAAGCCACGTCTGCTCCACGCCTGTCTGAGCGGGAAGCGTCTCTGCCGACAATCTGCCGCTCCTCGGGGGGGGGGGGGGGGGGGGGGGGGGGCAGCGAAGAGGTCAACATGCTCATGTGATTCTCCTGGCTTCAGGATACGTAGTGACAAGGAGGATTGTTTACTGGCGTGATTTCCTCAATGTGTCTCTTGCACCTCAAATGCTGAGATGCGGATTTTCATCGAGGCAACCGATGACTGATGGTCAGGGAAATAGGAAGGAGCGTCCTCGACAGCAAACAGATGCTGACCAGCAGATCACCATGAACAGGCCTCCGAGGTTTGGGACTCTCCCTCGACTGTATCTGCTATGGGAGGGTCTCAGTGGTGTGTGTGTGTGTGTGTGTGTGTGTGTTTGTACATGTGTTTATGTGTGTGTAGTCCAAAGGAATTTGTGAAGGCTTTCCCTCTGAAGTGTCAACCTCCCAAAGACAGGATCAAGTGCTAAGCTGGGGACTCAGGAGCTCAGTGCCTGGAGTGTATGTGTGTGTATTCCTGAAAGTATGTGTGTCGGTGTGTGTGTGCGTGTGTGTGTGTGTGTGTGTGTGTGCGTGTGCGTGTGTGTGTCCAGGCACCCACTTCTGGTTTTAGGGATTGAGGATGTGATATATCCTTTTATCTTTTACTGTGGATGAGTGCAAGTCTGACCGGAGTCCACCCTGTAGGGTAAATCCGCACTCTCAAAGGACGGATCAGTGTCTCAGTGTGTGTGTGTGTGTGTGTGTGTGTGTGTGTGTGTGTGTGTGTGTGTGTGTAGGCGTGTGGGTGCGTGTGTGTGTACATATGAAGGTGCATCAGAGAGAGCAGAGCCTTCCTCCTGAGGGGAGAGCACAGAGTTGAAGGGTCAAACACACATGTGTGGGGTCAGTGAGCAGCCCGGCAAGCAGAACAGAAACGTCATCCACAGAAACCTTACTGCTGGTGTGTGTGTGTGTGTGTGTGTGTGTGTGTGTGTGTGTGTGTGTGTGTGTGTGTGTGTGTGTGTGTGTGTGTGTGTGTGTGTGTGTGTGTGTGTGTGTGTGTGTGAGAGTCTTAAGAGTCTTAAAACTGAAGAACAATTTAACATAACAGTGGGGCTGTTTAAAAACAATCCACCCTCCGTACCGTGTGTCTCAGTGATGACAATAACTCATCAGATCTATTTGTTTTTTGTACCAGGCTGTAAACATGTTTATTTATTCTGTAAAAATGACTTTTTGGCTGTGGTGTGTATGTGATTCCGGGGCAGACACAATTTTGCACTTCTCCACATTGGCTTCATTTTTCAAGACCTCAGGTTGTGGCTTACGTTGATTGCATGCTATTTTGTCCCTTTAGGTGCACCGTAGTTTAGCCACTGCACAGACAGCAGAGTCTCCCTGCAGCAGCAGTGATGGAAAAGAACGACACCTCTGCGCCTTTGAACGTCTCATTTTACTTCAAAAAGAAAACCTCACAGACAGCGCAGTTGACGAGTCAAAAAGAATGTCCTCCTCATGACATCAAACATTTCACTTTTTTCACCGTCTGGGTCTGTTGAAGGTGGAGATGCTGTTTGGGTCGTGGTGGCCACTGAAGGGACATGTGGGTGGGCTGTGTGACTTTAAGTACGACATTACACAGAGGCTGTCAACTGACTTTCATTCTGGGAGTCATCTCCATATAAGAGTGCTTCAGTCGGACCTTATTAAAATGTATCTCAGTTTTGATATAGTTTATATTCAGTGTTCAGACCGTCGCGTTTAGAGTCAGAGACAAAACGCTGTTCGCCAGCCTTAACATGCTTTTTATTGTAGGCTGATTCAAAGAGTCTCTGGAGTGGTTGGCCTACAATCTTAAAGCTGATTATTTTTTTAATGTGGCGGAGCAGTTTAGATTTAAGTCAAGTCATATTTATTTATAAAGCACATTTAAAAACAGCTACAGCTGACCAAAGTGCTGCACAATACATTAAAAAAGCAAAAACAACTTGAGATCACAACGTCCACAAGAGAGAAATATATATATGTATACATATATAAAGAAAGAATATATAAAGAAAGCAACAAAATAAAGAAAGCAACAAAGGAACCTGAAAGAAACGGTCTATTCAGGACCAGAGGACTCAAATGCTAAAATATAAAAGTATGTCTTGAGACGGGACTTAAAAGAGTCAACAGAGGGTGCAGACCTGATGGAATGAAGGAGGCTTTTCCACAGTTTAGGGGCTTTTACTGAAAAGGCCGGATCTCCCTTTAAAGTAGTTTAAAGTAGTGCACGGACACATGTACCATGTGGTGTTACAGTACTGAAGGAGAGTCAGAATCACTTAAGTCAAAACCAAAACCAGAAGTCTACTCTCCTTAAAAGGTCTTAGTCGGCAGTGGACATAAACTCAGATAAAGTTCAGTTATTTTTGATCTGGTGAAAACCTTGAAGGTGTCAGAAAAGTGTATACAACAGTGTTAACCATCATACCTGATGATAAGTGCGAATAATGTGATGCTATTCGCGGCTGCAGGTCATTTAATTGTGCCGTTGCCGCGTTGATATCTATTTTCCCAGAGCATTAAGACATCAGTCGCATCTGTCTTTGTCGGTCTTGAAATCATGTGAAAGCAATGTTTGTTCATGTCAACTTACCCTTCTGTTGTTATTCATATTAATACGTTCAGTATAAGAAACTGTGGCCGAGTAATACCTCTCCTCAGAACATCCATTCTCTATTTATAAAACGCAGCAAAGCTCGACCCGTCAACCTTTTGCCGCAGCGACAGCAGCATGACTTTCATTTACACCTGGGGATTCAGTGTGATCCTCTCTGCAGGAAGTAAGGATGTACAAGTGGAAGTGATTTCACCGCTCCTAACATATAACAGCGAGCTATGTGTGGATGTAGCGGCAGGTTGTGCATGTCAGAGACGGGGGGGGGGAATCGCGTTAAAAGGCAAACCGTGTTTGTCGACGTGTTTTCACAGCTTACGATCTAAACTACAACAGGAGCCAGTTGTTGCCGTGAGGACAGACGGACGACACAGATTGGAACTCGGTGGTCACAAGCTCATCTTTCACTTTCTCTCTGCTTCTTCTGCTTTTGTTCGGCAGGACGGTGCAGACATTTGCAGGAGCATTGACCCCCGTGCGATGGATCCCCGACTGGAACCAACAAACTATTCCCCGGGTATGAGAGACCACACACACACACACACACACACACACACACACACACACACACACACACACACACACACACACACACACACACACACACACACAAACATGCACACACTGACACACACACACATTTAAGTGCAAAGAAACACACTTAAGAGTAAAGACATTTTTACTAAGTAGAAGTTTTAAGCATCTCTCTTCTCTCACTCGCCCATCTGTCCATGTCATTCCTCGCTTCTCCACTTCCACATCGTCGTTTAACACACACACACACACACACACACACACACACACACACACACACTCACACACACCCACATAAAACACACTCACACACGCCTCTCTCCACATCAGCCATCAGTTTGTCAGACAGAACCGTAAATGTACATCTTCACATTCACGCACATCTCCTTTATACCACATGTCAGATAAACCCAGACTCTCTCTCACACACACACACACACACACACACACACACACAATAAGAATACATCACACATCAGCTATATCTCTTATGCCAAAGGATGGGGGGGCAGGGGGGTTGTTGGTAGCATGAGGGGTTGACAGGGGAGAAGAGGAAGTACACAGGAAGTACATTAGTTATCACTCCCATGTCTTCTCCACCTTTTCACTTCTTATCACCAGCCGATGTCTCAGCGTCTCCCCTCTCGTCCCACCCCCCCCTTTCCCTTTTTCTCTTTCTGTCTCTTTCCCTCTCACACACACGTCTCTAAAAATGACTTCCGTGCTCCACTTTAGTGTCGGGCCCTGGGATCTAGATGACACTTGGCAAGCCGCAGAAGCCGCGAGACAACTGGATGAAATATTTAAATGAAAAACGGCAGGGGTAGGAGAGGTGAAGGAAGGGAAGGGGAAGAAAAGAGAGAGAGAGAAACGCAGGACAGAGGACGAGAGGGAAGGAGAAAGCGGCGATATTCAGATGGAGAGCAGAATGTGAAGGATTTATTTTTTTCTGGCACAGAGAGAGAGAGGCCGTGTGACAAGGAGGGTAGATGAATTGGCTTTCACTTATGAAGTAGTGTGTGGAGAGAAAAACCTTCATTGTGTCTTAAATTTCACCAGCAGACCTTTTATGTGTCAGAGCACTTAGCTGCCTCAAAGGAAGGTAATGACTCCAAAACTTCACATCAAATTGTGTGGAAAAGGGGTGCGACAGTCGCTCAGTCTGAAGACACTTGGGTTGGGAACCAGAGGGCTTCTGATTCAAGTCATGGTACGGACCAAGTATGGAAAATTGGGACTGGTTGCTGGAGAGGGACCTGATCACTTCCTGAGGTTACCAACTGCTCAGGATGACATGTCTCCGTGCAGCCTCATCACTCTGACACTCTGTTCATAAAAATGCACGTCCATAGGTCCTATTTGAGCGTCAGGCCTATGTGTGTGTGTGTGTGTGTGTGTGTGTGTGTGTGTAGAATGCCATGCGGCGGCTGTGGCTCAGTTGTTAGAGTCGGTCGTCTCCTAACTGGAAGGTTGGGGATTCAATCCAGAGCTCTTGCAGCTACATGTCCGATGTGTCCTTGGGCAAGACACTTAACCCCAAGTTGCTCCCACTGCTTCGTCTGTGGCGTATGAATTGATTAGTTAATGCTTATGGACACGTTACACAGCAGCCTCTACCATCAGTGTGTGAATGTGTAGGTGTGACCTGCGGTGTAAAAGCACTTTGAGTAGTCCAAATACCACTGTACAGATGTACAGGTTTGGGATAAAGAAAAAAAGCAATGATCGACACTAATTCAGACATCACACTCATGCCAGAAACATGCATACTTGGTGATCTGCGAAAATGTATGAGTGTATCTGCAAATAAAATATTTATTTTTATCACTTATGGTCACAAAAAAAGTAATTGTGAGTGGATTCAGTTTAATGCAGCACAAAGAATGAATCACAGAAACATGAGCACCACTGGAAACGTCACGTCTTTATAAAATAAATGACTATAAAGTTATTTTAAAACAACATGTACAGTGATTATACCGTGATCAGGTGAGTGACTGATAATGTGTGAGGAGTACGTTGGGGAGGGGAGGATTTGGATTTATGTTTTTTGTTGATGCCAGAGAAGTTTATTGGTTGTTTAATGTTTATTAGGTTACTAAAAAATAAATTATAAATGAAATAAAAACACTGAAGAGGGACGGCAGTTTATATTTTCCTCAGGATTGATAAAGATTATACAATTAAATACAATTAAAAATAAATTCATGAATTGATTAAATGTCTGATTTTCTGACCTTAGAATGAAACCCTTCAATCTGACTTTTAAGACTTTATCTGACTAAATAGTATTCATTCATTTTGATAACCTTCATTTTACCCTAATAATAATAAATAAAACAATTAGGAGCTGATTCAGGACACAGACATCTAGTTGTAAATCCAGCTCAAATAAGCATAATGCTAATGTTAGCATGTTACAATTGCCTGGTGCAGAATAAAGTATGGAAGTTGGTCTGGTTGCTGGAGAGGTGCCAGGTCACTTCCAGAGTACCGAAGTGTCCTTAAGCAAGGCACCAACAGCTCTGACGTGCTCCCTGTGTAGCAGCCGGACTCTCTCCACTAATGCATGTCCACAGCTCCTGTTAGTGCATGTGTGTGATTCAGGCCTATGTGTTTACTGTAAGAAGCATGTTTCTCAAAGACCGAGTATAAACCAGAAATCCCCCTCAGAGATTAATAACGTATATAAAATTTAAATTAAAACGTCTTTGTGCTATTTTCAGTTACAGAAGGGGTTTCAGATTTTTCACTAATCATCAAAATGATCTTAATTATATTTTACACAACAACTTTTCTTGGAAACACAGCTGTTTAAAGAACTATTGATATTGTCCAAATAATCTTCAATAAAAGCAGGGCTGTAGCTAATTATTCATGGGTCACTTTAGCGATCTGATGTGAACTCTGCCCTCGTCTTCACAGAGTTTGTGTCTATTAATAACTCATCTACTGTAACATACACCCACGTGATGAAGACAGTGAAGACATTTAGACCGAAGGTTCTGGCAGAGATGAGCCAAGAACGAGGCAAAACAAAAAGAGGATGCGAATATGTTTGCCCTCCAAAAGATCACCGAAATGAAGAAGCAGGAAAATCAAAAAAACACAGATGAACCTTTAGAAGAAGGCAAGAAACTGTATTAGGATTTTTAATAAGTGTTGTATTGTTTTATTTAATTATAATTGAGCTGAAACCTGTAAAATGTGTTGAGTATTTTGGTGATTAATACATGGATTATGTTGAAATTGAAACTTCAAAGGATAATCTTTTAACAGCTTTTTTTAGTTTCAGTAATTTCAGAGATCTCCTCTGGAAAAATACCTGCTTGAAAAAAGGATCTATTTAAAATTTAATGTTTTGATTTCTTTGTCGACAGTGTGTGTAGGGTGTCAGTGATTTTAAACAATAAAAGAAACTTCTCCTGAACACTTTTTCTGCTGTCTAAGGTTTGCAAACTTCAGAAACCAGGATCGCAGGTAGGACACAACATTACCTCACATATTTGATACATAACTAAAGAGCTTTGAGGTTAAGTGTGTATTTTTATTTTATTCAACTCATCCTTTGTCTGTTTGCTGTGTTACTTTATTTTTTCTCTTATTGTGTGTGTGTGTGTGTGTGTGTGTGTGTGTGTGTGTGTGTGTGTGTGTGTGTGTGTGTGTGTTTCTCTGTATACATGACAAAAACACAATCACACACACACCAAAGTGAAAACCTGACACAGGCCCCAACTGTCTTATTTGTAAAGTATGTGTGTGTGTGTGTGTGTGTGTGTGTGTGTGTGTTTGTGTGAGTGTGTGTGTTGATTTTGCATGAAACTATTTTTCTCAACGCTGTCTGGACGTTTACGATCTGCATGTAAATAACTTTACTGAACATCCATAAACATGTGTGTGTACATGTGTGTTTGGTGGTGCATTAAACTAAAAATGTGCAGAAAAAAAAACAAGAAACATTGTTGTGTGTCCTGTCGCGTTTATATGACTGTTAAAAAGTCAATAAAAAAATGAAGAGTTGATTTTTAAAATGTGTTGTTTGTATTTTATCAGCAGCTCTGCGCTGAATCATCCGTCATGTCGTGTGCAAAAGATTCTGTTGTTTGTGAAACGTCTTCCTGTTGTGTTGCTATAAAAGCAACATGAATCACATACTTGTGGATATAATTGAAGTTAGATTTGAGAAAGGAAGTAAAAAAAAAAAAAAAAGAACAATCATGTTGCATATGCCAGCATCACAACAAGTCAGAGCGTTCCTGTTTTTGATCAGCTGCAGCTCATGTCGGGTAAAGGAAAGGTTCAGGTTATACAGTATGTACAGGCGGTGGGGGGGGGAGGGGGGCAACATGTGGTGTGTTTTACATTCACAGTTTCCGGTTACTGAGATACAAATATAGTGTTTCTCATTACTCATAACACATTCTGCATGCAGCAATGAAAAACGCTAACCTAACGTATCGCCATCCAGTAGTTGAGAGAAAAAGTATTACCTCAAATAAACATTCTGTTTCTGGACGCTGGCTCTGTGAGTAAATGAAGGAGAGGAGGAACAGAGGAGTTTTCTCCTGCGCTGATTGGGTGCAGATGTTGAGACCCCCGGGCTGGGTTTAGTTAAAAATCCGCCTGCCAGGAATATTCGCTACAATTCAATAAATAGAGCTGTTAGGAGCGAGGCATTTCCTTGTCACCATGTCAAGGCTTCGGAGCGGATGTTTCTTGTCGAGTGTTTTCAATCCGCCTGTAGTGTGTCTAATGCTCGGCCTGTACACTCGGCTCTATAGAGAACAGCGAAACTCAAGAATGCTGATATTGAAGCGCTTCGATTAAAAGGTGAATTTGAACTTGATTTTAACTTTGATTATCAAAATGTCTTTTCAAGTTCAACTGTTGTTTTTTTTAGAATGGTGTCACAGAAGATTTGTACCTACGGTTTTTAATAATATACTTAAATACTGAAAGGTGACATATTCTCCTCCTCTTCA